TAATTCGAAGTAAAATAAAGAACAAATTGTGGTGCTTTTGAATGTTATATTACAATTTATGCATTTTTATGTATATGAATTTAACATGAAATAAGATGTGTATTTGTTTATACATATTTACAGTTGTACATGTACACATGCTATGACAAAACTCAAGGTAAGTAAATACGAATGATGACTAAATAGATTTTGAGTAAAAAAAAAAAAATTCAGTTGGATGGAAGCATTGCAATGAACAATTCAGGCTGTAAAAGCTGGGGCATAGGTTCTATGCACCCAAATTGTATTGTACATTGTCTGTCAAATAATACAAATACATATTAATAGTTATATTAGGACCAGCAGCATCCTCATCTATTCGGATATCTCTTCTCTTAGGGAGCTTGACAAGGAGGACAACTTCAGACTCAACCAGAACAATAACAATGTGTGCATAGTAATTTAGGGCCTCAATGGTTCACTAGCTGATATAGATAGGATTCCCCGAATTTTATTTTAATTAAGTACATGTAGATATCTATTATCTAGCAAGTCTAGCTATTATTTTGCTAGTTAATATATGTATATATAAGTGTTCAGATTAAGTAAGAGGGGGTCAAAGGCTTGTTTCACATATAAATTCTGTGTTGACATTTTCGTTGGTTTGGTTAAAGTTATAAATAAAGGAAATAAATGAAGGTCAGGCTGTTTGTTCATTTGGAAGCCGTCTTCAGTGTATATGAACATAATTATGAATTTTTCTAACAGGGCCTGTACCTTATTTAAGTAGGTTTTATGATATCATGATAACACAATAAAGACACATACATTTAATGACTTCTCACCCCTTAACTGCATAAAGGCCTTGTATTTAATATAGTTGTGTTTAGTAAATGAAAAGTTTTGTACCATCTTAAGTTAACATGAAAAATCAGGTAAACTTATTTTACTAAATTTATTATATAGACTATTTCACAAATGTCGATAATTCACACAGAGATTAATTTCAGCACGGGCTTTTATTTCCTGACAATGTTCTTTAAGACTTATACAAGAAGAAAATCTTTAGGTGTTTAAATATAATTCTACAAATAAAAGACTATAAAATAAATAATAATTTATAGGCTAATCTTGTCAAAATTATTAGTAAATTAACATTTATTCCTTTGAGTTATCTTTCTCATCAGGGAAAGTGAACCTCAAAATAGGAAATGCAACTTCAAGTCCCTAAACTTTTACCAGTTTTAATCAAGTAATTCAGTTTCGGAAAGGGATAAGGGACAAATTACAGAGTTCTTTAGGTGCTAAAGTCAATGCAGGCTCATTTGAATAAGGTTCGCAGTGCTGGTCTTTCTATGTATTTTCCTTATGGCATATGCTGTATGAATGGTCATAATAATAAATAAATCAACAAATAAATAAAATAAAGAGGGTTATAATGAGACTTCCAGTATAAGGTTTAAAATGGGGCTTCAATTTTTGTCAGTGTTGGTTTTTGCTGTGTCTCTAAGTTATTAGATACAAAAGATTTGCTATTTTCACACAGATAAAACTTGCTTCAGTTAAAATTCTATATTCACAGATTTTAAACTCATAAAGGATAAATTGTTTAGGTAACTGGTTTTATTCATGTGGAATTATAAGATTTAAAAATAAATAAATAAATAAGATGAAAGAACCGCATAAGGCGAGATTTCCTAACAGCATAGAGATACAAATTCGGGGGGGGGGGGGGGGGGGGGGGTTAGATACATATTGTACCACAGGCTAGATTATAATCTGATCCATTTCCTACAATATTTTCTTTTTAATAGTAGGCGCTTACTGTTAGCTTACACATATGCATATCTTAGGGGCATTTCTTCATTGAAAATATCAGTTCAAACCCAGTTGCCATTCGCATGTAATATGGTATGTGTTTATCACTCATGTTAGCAGTTAGCTGAATTATTTTCTGTTTACACATTAATCTCATATGGGATTAAGATGCATTAGTCGGTGCATAATTGCATAATTTATGTACATGTAGTTTACATCCATGCATCAGCTAATGGGTACAAATACAGGTTACTCCTACATGTATAAGAGCCTCGGTTAACGTCCCTACGCTCCTTATGTACCTCGGAGCCAACTCAAAAGTATCTCGTCGTGAACCTCTAGCATGCTGGAGTAAAATACAGGTTAGCTAGGGGATACAAATACAAATCCACAAGTGAGTAGGAGTTAACGTTTCATAGTGCTAAGATTAGATAAACTTCGACAGCATTTTAGGGTATTATAGAAAGGATAGGTTTACACTAACTTAGCATATTAATTTTCATGCTCTCTATCATAAAGCTATTTTTTACAGCCTTAAAAAGAATTTTGAAGTCTATATTTTTAATAACCCATTCCACAGCATATTTTTGCAGGAGGAAAAGGGGGGCGGGTCCCTCCCAAAATTCCCAAAGTAGGAAGCTTAAGGTGTAGTTAAATCATGCCTATTTGATAGAGTATTAGCTGGAAAGGGATTTAGAATAAAGGTTTTAGTCATATGTGCCTTACATGTCTTGTGCAGTCCATCTACATTAACAAATGCTTAGGGGTAAATACAAAGTACCCTACTGTGTTTCTTGGCTTCAAAGGTAAATAGTATATACAAGATTTAATCAATTTTACATGGTCTTCGGAAGAGCTTGGTTTAAAAAATAAGTAGTACTTAGATAAGCTCATTTCTTCAGAACTGGCAAGATACATTACAAAATATCACAAAACATGTTCTGCACTTGACAGAGTGGGAATGTGAACACTTAAAATTATTGTCTACAATACAGGAACAACATAATCATGCTGAAGGGGGTGGGGAGGGGGGGGGGGTAGAGAGTATAGCTGCTCATCTCATTCATCTTGTTTTTAATCTTTGCAGGAAAGTATATTACAAATTTTTCTTTCAAATGACCTAAAAATGAATAAGAAATAAAATTCAAATGAATAAACCAATAAATAAAAAAAGGGGGGATAAATCTAGATAAGGCATATTTTCTACTTTATTTTCTTACATTAGTCCAGTTAGTTCTTTCTTTCTGACTGAGTAAAATAGCTGGATATTAGTAATAGAAATATAGACCCAAAGCAATACAACTTCGAAAGATATAAAATCAGGGAAAGGGGGGGGGGGGATAAAGCACGGTAAATTTGAAGGGTAACCAGATTTATTTTAATGCAGCATAAATCTACAGTGGGTTGGAAATGAGAGAGAGTGATGTTCACGATGGATGGGTTGCTGAGGGTTTTGAGTAGGCTAGGAGTCCATGGTGGGTGGTTAAATTGAAGTTGCCTACCCCCACCAGGTGGCGGTGGGCACCTACGGTGCCCATGTGGCGAAATCGTCACCTTCAATTTAACCATTGAACTGTTGATTTTGTTGACTTTTTGTGGTTGATGTTGATATATGTGATGGTTGATGTTGATATATGTGATGTTGACTTTGAAAATTATATCTTATATAATGTAAATCTAAAGCAAAATAATATAATTAAAAGACAATTTGTGTTGAAATGTGTCCGTAGCACGATTGAGGTCAACCCAGCGTGCTACTTTTCCCGTCAGGGAGGGCACAACTTATGTTGATGTTGGGGGTATGCCATTTTGCCGGCTGCCCCACTGTTGTGTAGACCACTGTGGACAATACCTGCCAACTCGAATAAAACATTAAACTTAAATACTTAGAATTTGTTTATTATATATAGGTCTTTGATAATACCGCATATTTGAGTTCATCTCACAATATGCGTCGTTATCAAAGCTCTATATCCTTTAATTATATGTCATCATTCACCTCCTTTTTGTGAAAAATTGAATAAATGAGATAAGCCGGAATTTATTTATCCATCCATGCAGTGTCAGTACGTAGTTACAAGGTTTACGGGTTATCTCCCCTTTTCTATGCATCAATGAAAGTGAAAGGTGGGTGATGAAAGTATCCGATTTATTTTTCTGTATTATGAAATACCCTCCCACCTCAACCCTTGAGCTAGGTGTTAAGTATATACTCTTTCTCCTTTTGTTTGTTTAATTTACGTTTACATTGTTTTACATGGGTTAGGTATAGCCAATTTATTAAAGTTATGGAAATGTTATTGAGAATCTTTTTCTGCTGTGGGGTTTTGTTTTTGTCTTTTCAGGTATTAGAGATTTCGTTGAAGGAGACTGACGGTGCTGATCAGAATTGCCCGCTATTTCCGTATTCTAGGACCTTTGGAATGATCTCTGACCGAATACCATGCGTGACAGGTGTCAACTTGGCGATTTATCCATGATTTCAAGGAGTTCGGGGAAAGACAGTAGACTATACTTCACAGTGGTCGTATTGGCGAAATCGTCACCTTCAATTTAACCATTGAACTGTTGATTTTGTTGACTTTTTGTGGTTGATGTTGATATATGTGATGGTTGATGTTGATATATGTGATGTTGACTTTGAAAATTATATCTTATATAATGTAAATCTAAAGCAAAATAATATAATTAAAAGACAATTTGTGTTGAAATGTGTCCGTAGCACGATTGAGGTCAACCCAGCGTGCTACTTTTCCCGTCAGGGAGGGCACAACTTATGTTGATGTTGGGGGTATGCCATTTTGCCGGCTGCCCCACTGTTGTGTAGACCACTGTGGACAATACCTGCCAACTCGAATAAAACATTAAACTTAAATACTTAGAATTTGTTTATTATATATAGGTCTTTGATAACTTGTAAACTATTGTATCAAAAGAGCTTTGACATGCAGGTTCCTAGAAAATTGTCTTTCCTATAGGTACTTTCTTTTATGAAACTGAATTGATTTTTTTCTAAATGTTTCTATAATAGGATTCTTGTTGTCAAATATCATGATATTTCTGATCATTTTTTAATTTATAAAAAAAACTTACTGAAATTCCTTACTTGATTCTTATAGGTTAAGAGTGACACTTGAACAACTTACAATTCCAAAAATATGTAAAAACTAATTCATATATTTGTTTTAATTTGGATTATTTTCAGCAGTTTGGATTCACACGGTATCACCACAATAAATATACTAGGAGACAAAACTTCTAAGACAACAAAGGGAATACATGACGAGTGAGTTTTATGTCATTAAGCTGAAAGGTTGGTTAGTGGTGGGGCTTTTGTACTTGTATTTCATTTGTTTATTTTTCTGACATGACCTAATACCCTTGGAGACCAAAATTTATTAACAAATGGTCATGGAGAATGGCCTACTTTTAAAAAATATTGGCCAGAATTAACAATTGAGGCAAAGCTTTTCTTGGCGTACCGCATTTGTGACCTGTGAAGTTTGACTTTGAAATTTAACTTAGCTTTGAAAAACATTTATCTTCGTCATAACCTTGCAACTGTTTGTGATAAGGATTTTGTATTTCACATGCATATGTATAGCTTGTGACAAGAACTTTTCTCGTTTACCAACATTTCCGACCTCATGACCTTTATATTAAAAATTTTACTTACCTTAATAATACCGTTGATAATGTAGTAAAAATTAATGCAGGGCTTTCATATATCACTGGTATATTCATTGGGACAGGGAATTTTAACCTTAGCTAGTAATGACCTGTGATAGAAGGCATCATCGTTTTACAAGCACATTCAGTGGTTTAAATCTTTTTTTGCATTTCCAGATCGAACCTTCCATTTCCAGTTTATGTTATAATTATAATACCCTGTATGTGTGTAGCAGAAGTAGGCATCATTCTTATTATTGTGATTAAATGCCTTATAAAGAGAAGACGTGAAGGTCAGAAAATGATTGAATCATAATTCAAATTTTTTTTACTGTTTGTTTTAACTATAAATTGGAAAAAAAAATTGAATAATTTTAGGTTCACCGAGGAACATCCATGAACAAGAAGCGTTAAAAGCCAATGATTCCTCACTTGCAATTGGAAGAAATGAAAACAAAAAAACTTATTTGAGAGAAGCATTATTGTGCTGATAAAAAAACTATCTTGAAAATAATAAGGTCCTTATTGACTTCATTACTCCGAAATTTTAAAGACAATTTGAATGCCTTAAGATGTATTTATACATTTATATAGAACATAAGTTTTTCAGTTCAATTCCAAAAGACATTTACTTTTCACGTAAAAGTGTTGAGCGTTACATGTGAGTGAAGAAGAACAATTACTGTGTACATGTATTTTAATTGACACATGTTTGTCACGATCCGAGCTTCAATCTAATCCTATCTACATGTATCTGTCCACTGCTGAGCAAGCGCTCTTCCAAAACAATACCTTACATGTATGTAATAAAATTTTGTAAACTATTAAGATAACTCGATAGGAAAAAAACTCTATTCGATTATACTGAATGCATTGTAAAAATTGATTGACTGAATTGATCAGTATTACACTATAGTGACAATTTGTAAACTTTGATTTGATTTATTCTGATTGTGATCACAATGACCTTTGGTAATAGATTTGATTTACTCTAGTTCAAATGTACTTTATGTGGTTATTCTTATGTCACGGGTTCGAATTCTACAGCGCTGTAGGTGCTAGCAAGAAATAGATCCCTCAGTGCAACAAAGTAAATATATCTAAATTTTAAATCCTTTTCAAAAATCTAAGTGCAAATGTTGGCGGACCTCTTATAATGATTGAACGGGGTTTTTACTACAGTTTGATTTATCATGTACAGAACTCTAATAAAACAAAAAAAAAACAATTGATCTTCCATTTGTTATTTCAAAATTGTTTTTAAAAATTTGAGCGATGTCTATTGGCTTATTACTGTAAAATAGTATATTTTCGTCAAATTTTGGTTAGGAAAATGTTTTGTTGTAATGTACATGAAATTTTAATCTAGTGGTGTGTCATAATTTTGAGGGTCTCTCCATGCCTATAAAACAACGAAAATCAGACCCCACGAAACGTAGTGATTTCACAGTATTTATATTGCCATTATCATAAATTGAAAAATATTAGGTTTTGGAGCAAAGGAAAGATGGAAGTTTAGGTAAAGTATGAAATATATGTATAAAGTACATGGAGTCTTTATGCTGTTATAATATTAGACTGGTTCCCATCCACACCAGAGTCCCTAGACGTTACGTGCGGTGTTGGTACTATCATATCTGACCCGTCATATTCCACAAAGAAACTGGCGTTTTTCAAGGTGTTATATTTACTAAAAATTAAAAATAAAATTAATTACATAATCCCAGGTAAGACTACCGGTAAACGACAGCCTACTACTTGGGCTGTAAAAAATTCAATTCAATATGACTTTTTTTTTCAGTTGAGCGATTATCTATCATAATAAAAGAACCTCTACTGATTCACAAAGACACATCCGCATAAAAATTATTATCAAGGAGTCTAGCATCGTCGGTAAAAGTCTAGCCGTGTACTCAACATATATACCATATGTCTTTGTATTATTCTTCAACTCATAAAATAAAACTAAATAAAAACTCCCATTTTATGGTCTGATATCCATTCAACATATTTAGATCAACCGTCCACTCACAAAGAATAATCTCCCACGATTTGATGTTACATGTATGTATGTCTCAAAGATATTAATTACAAGCGTAAAATAAGGAATGTATACAGCATATCCTAGTAAGTTTAGTAGCGTCTGAATTTATCTGTTTTGATTTTCATTCGAATGTTATTGTTACTATGTCTGAACCTAACATGTTTTGATAAGCATCTGCAACATCAGATAAATCGTTGGTCGTTATTAAATTGTTCCTGGTGTTAAATTTATCACGTAGAATCCAACCAAAATACACCATATAAAGTACTGCACAAGTCGTACCAAGCGTTGTAACTGAAATTCTAAGTTTCCTGTTCAATTCATTACTGCTTTGTTTCCTTGTCTGGTATGATTCTGTAACGTTTGGCGTTATAGAATTCTTGTCTGTACTCTGTGTAGTCACTGTAGTCATTTCCCACTGTGACTGACTCACAGTAAAAAGAAATGATGTTTTTTCTTGAAGATAAAAAATAATTACCATAAAAAGGTAATAAGTAACAATATACCATAAAAATGATTGATTTATTTGATATACATGTTTCAATTAAGCTTAATTAAGTCTGTTTTAGTGAGTTTAACTTTTACATTTTTTAGCTGATTCTGGACAGCCTGTTCTGTGGTCACATGATTCAATACCACAATTCTCACACCGCTTGCTGCATAAGTAGCCCTACTGAGGATAATGACACAATGTGGAACAATTCCGTCCAACAAAGCCAGGGTTACATTCTGGAGATTAAATGTCACATAGTATGGTACGGTCATAATGTATTGATATAATATCTGTTTTAGATCAGAAAATGCAGCACAAATCCATAATATGCTTGAAAAATATGGATTAGTACTGAAAAGCACTTTCAAATGAAACATGATCGTGAAACTAATACATGGAATTATGCACTTTCTAGCATATTTAGTATGAAAATCCTTTATTAAGTAAGCTTTGAGCAGTTCATATGTTTTAAAAGCGGAATCACTTGAAACTGAACTGTGAAAACAAATCTTACCGGTACATTTTCTAAGAGTTGTATTCCAAACACTGTCATCCCCACAGGTCATGTTTACACTGTTGCTTAAACACACAAATAAAGTCACTCGCATATCTTTTTAAGATTCTTACAAAAGAATATGAAATTGATATCGGTTTTACATACCTTTGTTCAATTGTTTTTCCAGGTTCATTTCCTTGGACTCTGTACAGAAATACGATTATATGCGTTGCACCCAACTGCATTATATGAGTTGTAGAAGGATGAACTTGACATGCTAATGAATCAGTTAATAGTGTTATTAGATTAAAACTAGAAAGTACATGTAGAATGCTAATTCAAAATAGGAAAAGATATTTTAAAAATACAAGGTTAAAAAAAAATTTTAAAAAGTTTCTTCGATATTTAAGAGTAGTTACCTTAATAGGAATGTGCTTTTTTTCTCCACCATTGTCTCTTTTATTTGAAACAAGAAAGCTATAAAGCACGGCTGATTTCCCATTCAAACCAAAAATTGTTTTAATGTGTATATTTGAATATTTATTTATAATTTGCGAACTGTAACAACAGCTTTTTCTCAATGTATCCAAAATCTTTAGAAAAACTCAGCGGGAAAACAGAGCTTGCAAATTACCGTTACGATGTAGCATGATAGGTACTTTGGTCGTCTATGTTCGTATTTTAGGATAAGGGCCCTGGATCATGAAGTACCTTAATTTAATATATTCATGTTGTACTAGAAGTTTGATTAAGTCAAATAGACAAAAATTAAAATATTTTTTATTGTCATACCTTAATTTACAAATTTATTTCTATTCAAATCTATACGAAAAAAGTGTAAAATTTCTAATGTTTTGCTGAGCGGGCATAAAAAATCGATGTTTGTCCGCTAAGTGAGATGTTGGACCGGTCGATGGATGTTGGACCACTTACCTCACAGAATGGGTGGAGCTTAATCTCATTTGCATTCGTTAGTGTTCAAAAATGACTGTCCTGAGGTCACTTCACGGAAGACAGTAAAACATACATGTTGGTAAAAAAAAAATAGTAAAATGAAAGGTATAACAAATTATTTATTGACTGAGTTCGAGGGCAAAATGCGTTTTGTCAACCCTCGACAAAACGCATATTGCCATGAAAAAGTCAATAAATGTATAATATTGCTTTACAAAAATTTTTGTAATCTGCAAAATAAGAGATGCGTTAAATAATTAACAGACAGTTTACAGACGATTAAATATTTGAAAAAAAAAGTCTAAGTCTGCTACATGATCCTGAGACCAGATATTTTAACCATAGAAATAAGCGACTGTTTATAAATTTGCACTTTGTTGCGATAATATAATCAGAAACTCTTTTAAAACACATTACATTTCAATTGCCCTGTGCAAATTTTCATTTTTTCCCCACAATACTTTACATTCTATCATACAATAAAAATCATATATTTCACTTTAAAATGCTTAGTATCATTCTATTTGAATCATCGAAATAATTTATTTTCAAAACAAAGTAAAATCCTCAAAATACAGTTCACATTGCTCTAGAACTTTCCGCTTAAGCAAAGTTAAACTTGAATACTTATGCTTCGTGCGTTAATAATTGGGAGCCATTGAACATGATTTGTATTCAATGATTATTTTAAGTCTCAATTAAAAAGATATTTTGCATGAAAAAGTAACCTGTTCAAAAGTCAATTTAAAAAATGAACCATCGAGGATACATGTACGTGAGATGATTCCTTTCAATAATCAATGCCCTCTGATAATTCTATAAAAAAAATTGTCATTGTCATACCGATCGATGTAACTGAAATTCTAAGTTTCCTGTTTAATTCATTACTGCTTTGTTTCCTTGTCTGGTATGATTCTGTAACGTTCGATATTATAGAATCCTTGTCTGTACTCTGTGTATTCACATGTAGTCATTTCTAACTGTGACTGACTTACAGTAGAAATAAAATTTTTATCTTGAAGATAAAAAATAATCATTTAAAAGTAATACTTAATACTTGTCAGTAAAAGTCAATTATACCACCAAAATGTATGATTTATATATTTTACATGACATATTTTCAAGTGTGTTATAGTGAGTTTTCTTACTTCGTTTTTCTTTACCTGATTCAAAATGGACAGCCTGTTTTTCACATGATTCAATACTACAAAATCACAAAGCTTGCTGCATACGTAGCCGTACTGGGGATACTGACACATAAGGGAACAATTTCGTCCAACAAAGCCATTTACATTCTGGAGATTAAATGTCACACAGTATGTTACAGTCATAATTTTGAAATATCTGTTTTAGATAAGCAAATGCAACACTATATAATTTGATTGAAAAAATGAATTAGTAATGAAAAGCACTTTCAACTGAAATATGATCGTGAAAAAAACAGGGAAGTAAGCACTTTCTAGTATAATAGTATGAAAAGCCTTTATTTAGTAAACTTTGACCAGTTCATATGTTTTAAAAGCGGAATCACTTGAAACTGAACTGTTGAAACAAAAGCTCTCATGTGTTTGATTC